GACGACGGATGGATGGGGCGGCTGCGCCGGCGACGCGGGGGCCTAGGGGTGAAGAAATAGGTCGCGGGGGCTGCGGGAGGAGAGGCCGGGAGGGGTGAAGAAATAGGGTGTGTTTGGATGACCACCAAATCTGACCACACCAAAAAATTGGCTAGCCCATGGCATTTGTTAGCTGTTTGGATCACTACCAAAAAATTGGCGTGCCCAGCACAGCCGCCGCGGGCCCGTGTAAATCGCGCCAACACGCGGGCGAGCCATGGGCGGAGAAAAGCTCCGCCAATAAATTGGCGTCGCGACTTTGTCCATGTAATGTCACATGCGGTGCATGCAGCCGGGCGTTTTGCATCTTTTGGCCTGTAATTAGTCGTTTTAGTCGCAACGATTAGTGAGGGCATGCAGTTTGGTGCTTAAAAAAAATAAAGTGCATGCAGCGTGATATTTTCCTGCGCTGGGCGAGGACTAGTGTACTAAAAACTTCCGGCTGTGGCTGTCTCGTGTCATTCTGTTGGCAAGCATATTTCTTTTCTCTTGTATGCATCTTTGTTTTTATTTAGATAATAGACGTGTGAAGTATTCCAAAGTCTAGTGTAGTCATTCAGGTCAGCGGTGCAAACCAAACGGAAGACTTGCCAAAATTTTGGGCAGCAACTGGGCTACAATCCAAACAAAAACTACTTACCAATATATTGGTCATGCCCTTGATTTGGTCATACCAAAAATTGGTAGGGCTAGCTGGGGCTCAAACCAAACACACCCATAGGTCGCGGTTGGTTGGCGGTTAGACGGGCGCGCCGAGTCCCAAGGCAATGCGGGCGACGGAGAGCGTGCTGCTCGCGCGGTTGGTTTGCGCTGTGGGCCACGACCTCGCGGGCGGGTCCTCGGCGGGCGGCGAATCTGGCGAGGCCCTCTGCTGGTTGGCGTCAGCGCGGTTTCGTGGCAGCGGCGTGAGGCCCTCTGCTCCAGGGTGCCTTCCTCCTTGACGGCGCGGACGCGGACGCGCGCTTCAGCATGTCAAAGTTCAGGGTGACGTGAGCGCTCCGCTCTGTCGCAGTGAGGATCGTATTTTTTTAAAAAAAAGAGGCAAAAGATTTGCCACATCGATTAATTAAGCGAAGAGAATTGTGAGTTAATAAACGAAAAATCAGACGAAAGCCGATACAAACCAATAACATGCGGACTACTCAGAGAGCATGCAACTTCAAAAGCGCACGATTAGCCCTACAAACACACCCAACACGAAACGACCATCAACCTCCAAACTACTACTCCCTCCGTTCCTAAATACTTGTCTTTCTAGGCATTTCAACAAATGACTACATACGGAGCAAAATGAGTGAATCTACACTCTAAAATATGTCTACATACATCCGTATGTAGTCATTTGAAATTTCTAGAAAGACAAATATTTAGAAACGGAGGGAGTATATAACAAAGAAACCCCTAATGAGAGCACCTCCACCGAAGTCCACGAACACCGCCAAATCCATAGAGACAAGCCCAAGACAGGCCATATGAACCGTCCAATAGACCGAAGATCATCCATCAAGCAGTTACAGACGCCTTTCCTATGACGCCACTATTCTTAGTTTTGCCCCTGAGAGCCTTTTAAGACCCGTTGATAGTAAATTAAATATAAAAGGCTCCTAACTATTATGAGATTCTTTTATTGTTATAATTTAAAATCTCCGAAAACATTTTCCATATATATGTGTGTGTGTGTGTGTGTGTGTGTGTGTGTGTGTGTGTGATGACCCCAAAACGCTTCCAGTTCCTTTTGAAACTATTTCGAATATCAGTGAAACTATTTCACAAATATTTTCTCATTAGTCATGCCCTACTAACACTCAACACATCGTAATTTCCTTAAACTTGTGACCCTGTAGGTTCGGTAAAACATAGACATGAACAGAACCCCTTTCGTTCAATGACCGATAGCGGAACCGTGGACATCCGTATCGATCCCTATGAGTACACGAATGATATTCGAGTGAGCCTTTGGTTATCATGTGCTATTCACTTTGCATCGTGATATTATGCAAAACCCAAGGTGAGATAAATCGGTATCCTCTTGAGAACACATGCTCACTATACCGGTCCCCTCGTTACCTATTTTGTTCTTCTTCCTTGTTGACATGTTCTGCCATCCCCGTGACAAAGTCACCTATGTCTGGCCGAATGATGACGGATGTCGTCACACTGAGAGGGTCCTATGAATATCTCTCCATCGTCGGAGGAGTAAATCCCCCTCTCGAGCTATCTAGTCCCTTGTCAAACTTTCCGATGAAGCTGTAACTTGTCGTTATGATCACCGTTTTACAGATGACGTTTGAGCAACCCTAAAGTGTATCGTACGGTAAGAAGAGACTACGATACTCTCATGGTCTAAGGAACTAAATCACACGTTAACTCCCCATGTTATAATATTTGACTTCTGATGTTTATATCTCAAAGTATAACAAACAAGTTTGGGTCGATTCAATACAATCGTTCTTCCAATGTCATATTCTCAATGTTGTTTTAGGACTATCCTTACACTTAACTATATCCTAATATCCGGAAAAACATGATCATCAACAACACTTAAGCTAGTCTTAGAGGCGAGACTATGAATCTTATTTTACCGTTTATCATTCAACACGTACATATGAGCTTTCCACTGAATCACATATTCCATGATCATAGCAGTTATAGCATAGAATATATACTCTTAATTATGAACACAGAAATATAATAATATAATATTATTGCCTCTACAGCATATTTTCAACAGGACAGAGGCTAGGCGGTGAGAATCTTATTCCATCTTTAGGGAGCCGCCCTGTCTCGTCTTCCTAAGAAGAACAAAACCTAACAAAACTCAAAAGAACATATAAAAATAGAGCCTTTCCACCGGCAAGGGCCAAGATCCACCGCGCTGCCATGGCCCTAAGATCACTAGAGAGGAGGTGGACCAGCGGCGGCGCTGGCGGGGGGTAGAGGAACTCCAACATTTTCTTAGACATCATCTTGTTGATTGGTTAATTGGCTGCCAACTTATATACCAAGGTGGTCTGGGGCTATAGATCGGAAGGTCACTGAATTATGCTTGCTTAATAAACGGGTACAGAAAATTGAAAATTAAGATGGTTTGTGGGAAAGCATGGTATCAGATAGATATTGTAAGAGAGAAAACATAGTTAATGCTAAAACTAGACCTAACCAGTCACATTTTTCTTGCATATTGTTCCTCTACAAGTTTTCGTAGAGAAAAGATTGGAAATTGTCATAGTATAACCTTACATTTTAGAGAGTGAATTGCAAAAAAATCATCACATTTGAAATTCCCATCCGGAATTGCCACCACATTTTTTATGCGCCTAAAAAACCTATCTTTTTCTTACCAATTTTCTCAATAAACACTAATGACCGATTTGAACCATTCTAATCCGAGTCCTGACATGTCGGGTCCACCTATAAGCACTGATGTGGCACAAAAACATCAAAACTGTTTGTTTACTCTTAAGTTGGACAAGGGGTCCACCCGTCAGCAGCCTTGTCTCTCCCAAATATTCTTCCTCTCTTTGGAGGCATTCCATCGAACAGGTGCAGCGTGGTCATGGGCGAGCGGGTCGCAGGGAAGCGACTGCTGGGCTCGTGGCGAGGCTCATCGGAGGGTGTACTGTCGGGCGTGGGCGACCTCACTAGAGGAGAAAAAGGCATGGGTTGTACTGTCGGGCGAGGCCGCGCCCGGGAGGAGTCATGTGGAGCCGCCGACCGTGGCCTCCAGGACGTAGCAGGAGCAGCAGCAGGCCACGCCTGGGAAGTGTCGTGTGGAGCCACCGGCCGAGCCATCCGGCATGCAGCGGGATCAGCAGCAGGACACGCCTGGACGGAGTCGGCTGCCAAGCCAGAGGGCACTGCCATGACGCGCGTGATGCGTCAGATGGCCTCGATGGTGCAGGCCACGTCTCACGCTGAGGCGGTGGAGGCATGAGCTTGTGGCCGGAGGCCATGGCAGGAGGCCACAATGATCCTCGACGCCGGCGAGACCCGTTCAACCCCAGCGACTCCGACCCCACAAACCACCTCACCTCCATCCTAGGCCACAACACAGTCCGCCGACGAGAACCAACACGAGCTCCAAGAACCGCTGCCGTTCTCTGCACAAGTTGTTCGATGAAATGGCAGAAAGATAAATATGGTGACAAGCTTTGACAGGTGGGTCCCATGTCCAACTTAACGGTCAATGCCGTTTGTGTGGCCGTTTTGTGCCACGTCAGTGAGTACAGGTGGACCCGACATGTCAGAAATCGGATTTAAAACAATTCAAAACGGTCATCAGTGTTTATTGAGAAAATTAGTAAGAAAACCGGTAGATTTTTGGGGCGCGCAAGAAATGTGGTGGCAATTCCGGACGAGAACTTCAAATATGGTGGTTTTTTCGCAATTCACTGCATTTCAGAAGTGACATTGTAGTTTCAATATTTTTTGAGAAAGATTGGCGCAGTATTTGATTTAGGATAATACTTTGGGGTGAAAGTGATTATATGTGCCAGCAGTTCCAGGAATTGTGTAGTCAGTTCATTTCGACAGAGGAGCCTGATTAAGTGGCTGTCAGTGATTGTTTATAAGTTTGGTGTTTTTTTCTAGACAGTCATGTGTACCTTGACTTTAGATTGCTAAAATCATTCATGGACGATTAGTGGAGACATATCCAACTCACAAAACCATCCACAATTCCACGTACATCAGCGTTGTGTTTTGTTGTGCGCTGCAATACATAATGTGCATCATATTTTTCTTGATCGACTTTCTGAATGACAAACAATATCCAGTGCATATAGCACAGCACAGCAGAGGCGAACAGAGCAGACTGATTAAACCAACCTGACAAATCTAGTAGTGCTGACGAGTGTACTCACTCACTAATCCCCCTTTGTCTAAGCTAATTGTATGTACACATGAGAGCAGACGAAATAGGAACTAGCTTGAAAAATCCTCTGCTCGATCGCCTGCTAGTGTTAGTTACCACCCCAAGCTTCGTTGAGGTCGAACAGCAGGTGGCCCTTCTCGTCCCGGTAATCCTCCTTGGTCTTCTGCTCCTGCACAGCATCAGTCAAAACGGGTTTTAGCTCCATGATGAAGCAACAACATTGCAAAACTCAACTGGTCCAAGATGCACGCAACGGGGAGTTTAATTAAAAAGAAAAGGCACTGCTGGTTCAAATATAGGATGACAGGAAACAAGACGAAATTCATGTGTGTGACAATACAGACAGTTAAAAAAATTTTAACCAAAGGACCGGCAGCCATGGTGGGCCCGGCGGCACGATACCGCCACCCGCGGCCCACGAGCCCTTGCCGGCCAGCAGGCATTCGATGAGCCTACAACAACCCCTACCGCAAGCAGAGCCAGGAAAAGGTAACGAAAAAAAAATTTATCTACCAACAGTACATGTCGACGTGCAATTCCAAAAGAAGAACACCACGTCGCACGTGGGAAAGAATCATCGATGGGAAAAAGGCAGCGAAACCATTTTTTTCAGGTAAACATGCAGCGAAATCATTTTTCCACTAGTTTCGTGGGCAAAAGTGAGCGGCACACGCGAGATGGATAACCGACGGAGGAAGCATTCACGCGAAAAGCAAACCGTCAAAGGATTGGAGAGAGAGTCCAGAAGCGATATGGAGACGCCGCGAGGAATTGGAAACAAGAACGGAATAAGAAAGCTCACCTCCACTTTTGCCGCGGTCGCCGTAGCTTCGCCGGCGGCGAGGTCCGTCCGCGAGCGCTTCGCCGGCGAGTCGTGCCCCTCGTGGCTATCCGACGGCCTTCCGTCTGACCCCAGCTCCGCCGTCGGCCGCGCGGCTTCGTTGCCGCTCGAGGACGCTCCCGATCCGGCGGCGTTGGCGAAGTCGAAAGGCGTCTCCGGGCTCGACTCCGCCCTGCCGGCAGTCGCCTTCTCGCTCACGCGCGCCCGTCGCCGCGACCGCGCCCGGTCGGCGCCGCTGGTGGAAGGGCCGGATCCGGCTGCCGAGGCCGAGCCGTACTGCGGCCGCACCTCCGGCCTCCGCCCGGTCAAAGACGCGGGCTTCGCCTTCGGGGCAGACCACGCCCTCTCCTCCTCCTCGCCGGAGCACGCGCCGGATCCGCCGAGAACGGGGCGCCCCGGCCGCGCCAAGGGGCTCTTCTGCGACAGCAGCGACGCAGTTCCTTCCGCCCGCGCACGGAGCCGCGACCGCGACCGCGGCCGCTTCGGCCATCCCTCCGGGATCGGCGGCAGCTCGGCCTCCCCCTCCTCCTCCTGTGGCCGCTGGAGACCGTCGGACGGCCGGGCGATCCACTCCGGCCACCGCACGAGCGTCCTGCTCCGGAGGCTGAGCAGAATCTTGGCGGCCGCGACGGCCAGGTCCTCCTCTCCGTGCTCCGCCATGGGGAAAGGAAATAAGGCGCAAGAAACGAAGTCCCGCACGCCGCCGTTCCGCGGAAATAAAGAGGGAGGCCACGGGAGGGAGGTGCTGGCCGTTTTATACGTGACGAATTCGGAGTGGAGAAGGAGACGGACTGCGGTGGCCTAGACCCTACAAACCTGCACGCCTGGTTAAAGGGTGATTTTCCTTTGGGAAAAAATATATAAAAAATGTTTATTCTTTGAACAAATTAGGATGCGTTTCCGGGGAGTACTCCCTCCGTTATCATTTGGCTTGCAGGTGCTAATTATTCCCTCCGTCTCACAATGTAAAAGTATTTTTTACACTGACATAATGTTAAAAGTGATTTAGGAGTACATTTTAGGAACCAAGTGCACGTTGGCAAACGACGACTCAGGCGAAACGCGTTCCTCTTGTTCCTGGCGGCTTCAACCCTAGCCGCCGCCAGGGACCGCCAATTTTCTAGCGCCGTCCTCCGGCGGCTCCCCTCCGCCGGCGACCTCAGTCGTCGGTGGTGAGGGGGTCACCGGATCTACGCATGTGGATCGTTTTTACATCTTTGTAGCTTAGGTTTTTACACAATTTATCGTTTTGGTTTCGACGGCGACGATGACGGTGTTAAATAAAGATTCTTCGGATCCTCCCTGACAAGGCCATCGGTCTTATGGTTGGAGATGAATTTGGAAATCAGTCTGTTCAAGCAAGGATGGTGTGGCAGCGGCGGCATCCTTGTGGTGGACTTGTGTCCTCGGGCTCCGCCGTTGCGACGACGTTTGCTCCAGCATCGGCGCGGAGCTTGGGAGGTAGTCTAGGAACGGATGCAGATTGTGGTCTGCATCGACAATATCTGGAAGACGGAACGTGTGCTGAGTTCGTGGTTCGTGGATGACAGGTATGGTTTCCTCCTTCGGCGTCTTAGTCGTGGTGGGGTGCTAGATCTGGAGTTCGATGGCGTGTCCGGGGTGTTGCCCCGGTCTGATTCGTTCAACGTCAACGGCTTCACTTTTGGTGAGCCACCTTGGAGGTCCGCAAAGCTGCATATCAGCGATGGAGCTGCGTTGAGCTCGGGTGAGGAGGTGATCTGTCATTCTTTTCTTCGATGGCTGCTGTGGTGGTGCCGGAGGCAGGTGACGGGCGTTGGTGTCAAGCTCAGAGATGTTCTGCTATCTTTTCAGTTTTGTCATGTCGGTCATTACGTGACTTATACTTTGATCTTTATGGTATGAATGAGACACGTATTATCATGCAAAAAGAGTATATTTTAGGGAGTACTTGCCAAATTTACCGTTATTGCTGAGATATGCTATCACATACATATGGGGTAATAGACAGGCAATTCTTTTTACTGGAGTAATAGACTGGTAACTTTTTTTTTGACTGGAGTAATAGACCGGTAGCTATGTACTAGTAAACTCTAATGAAAAAATCTGCATATATAAGTTAGTGGACTGTAAGCATTTCATTAGTGAGTTCATATGTTAGAAGATTGTATATTTGTTGTCTGCCTAACTTTTGTAGCAAGAATTGACGGGAAAATTCAGACAAGTGTACGGACAAAAGACTTAAACACGCCTTTCTCTTATTTGTATTTCTCTCATTATTGCTTTCTCTGTGTGGCAGACATGTGCAACACATCTGCAGGTTTCTTCCTTTAAGTTCTTTTTATCAACAATAATAATGGGCACTTTAGGGTTTCCTTGTGTATTGTGGGACAAAAATCAATCAGTGTCTGCACCATGTGTGGAGTCTTTGGTGTTTCCTCCCCTATTTCTTGGCTAGGGCAAACTCTCTCCTCAAGACTTTGTTATTCAGCCCGTATATTTTCCTCTCCTTTGCCTATCGCTCCAATAGCTGGTTGATGGGAAGGGAATCCCGGTGCCTTCGTTCCAGCTACTAGTTTAGGTTAGGGTTTTTTAGCTCTCGCAGGTGTGGCGTTTCGGGAGATAGTGGCGCTTATTCTTTGAGTTTGTCTTCCGTGCTCTGGTTCTCCTTGAGTTTGTTCATTTGGGCATAGTAGATGGAGCTCCAATGTAGATTCCTATTGTTTTCTTAGGGCGACGAGGTCAGAGTTTCTTGTCGTGTGGCGAGATTTAATATTATCAGGTGGTTCAGATATTATATTCAAGGGTTTAACGCTGACGACCGTGGCTACATAGCCTTGGTCCTCATGGGCACGTGCATGAAGACTTCCCGGTTATCATCACAAGGTCAAGTCGGCTCCAGCAGGGTAGTGGGGACAATGGAGCGCCGGCAGTTCGTTTTGACGGCGATAGTGGTCGTTCGATGGTCTAAAAGTTTAAAAATATTTTTCATTATGTTGGAGGTGCTTCGTACTTCCGGTGAACTTTTATAATAAATCTGAACCTTTCTCGCTTCGGAACATAGGCTTCTACCAGCAATAAAATTGTTGCAGGTCTCGCTCCAAGGGTTTGAAAATTATGTGAATTTATAGGTCATGAATTAGATCAAATGGAGCCTCACGGGGTCCACAAGTATGGGTGGCGCGACCACCCCCCGGTCGTGCCACCTACCCTTGTGGGGCCCTGAGCATCCTCTCGATGACTTCCGAAGCTTCCTATGTTTCTTTTGGTCCAACAAAAATTGTCAAAAATTGGCATCATGTTTGGACCTCCGTAGGTATTGATTTTCTGTAAACCAAAAAACAAACACAAAACATCAACTGACACTGAACACTAACTTAATATGTTTGTCCAGAAAAATAATATGAAATGATCTAAAATGGTAACAAAAGTATATGGCAATAATAATATAATAGCATGAACAAGAAAAAAATTATAGATACGTCAGAGACGTATCACGCACCGGCCGAGAGCGCCGCCGCGCCGCATCCCGGTCTTTCGCGTCTGATCAATGTCGGAGTGACGTGACTGGATAGGGTGGATATATACCACAATCAAATGGGTTGCCCGTTCATCCTCCTGCCGTCATTTAACAGGTACACCGACCGAGAAACCTACTCCAGCACCCGCAACGACACATCACGCTGCTTGGTCTGGCCAACATATGCATGGAGGAGGAGGTTCAATAATTTTTTATAAAGTTTGACCAAGTTTATAAAAAAATATATAAACATTTAACATAACAAATTTATACGGCATGAAAGTACATTCAATAATGAATCTAATGGTATTGATTCATTATTGTATATGTTCATATTTTTGTTTATAAAATTTGTTAAAGTTTATAAAATTTAACTTTGATCAAAGTTAATGGGCGGACTAAATAAAAACAAAGAGGTTCATCTTCACAAAAAGGATCCGTGCAAAATAATGCCTACATGGCGGTGGTCAAAGCATCAGGCTAGCCGGTCAACACAGGTCAGAGGCCGATAGCAATGGACCACTTACAAAGATTTAAGACTGCGATTGCATTTTTCATAGATTTGGGACTGACTTGACATTTTCGTAAAGTAATTAGGACTGCGCATGCATTTTACTCTCTTTTGTTCTGGGTCCTCTTTGCAAGATGGAATGACTGGTTTGTAATTTCTTTCCTTTTTTCCTTCGAGACCCTTGCCCGTTAAGAAAAACGTGTGCGGAGTGATCCTCCTCGTGGGCGAAACCCAGATCCCACAGATCCGGGTGGCCATGGGGGACGGCCGCCGCCGCCGCCGCCGCCGCAAGAATTCCCGGCGGGTACCCGCGCGGGAGGGAGATATTGACGACGTTCCGGGCGAGGTTCTCGAGCTGGTGTTCCTGCGCCTCCCCTCGCCTGCCCACCTCATCCGTGCCGCGCGCACCTGCAAGCGATGGCGCAACGTAATCGCGGGCGACGGCGGCGGCTTCCTCCGCCGGTTCGGCTCTCTCCACGGCGCGTCGCCCGACCACGTTGTCGGCCACTACCGCGTCAACGAGCGCCACGGCCACCCGCGTCCGCCTGGCCTGAACCCCGTATTCGTCCCGTCCTCCTCCTCTTCCTCGCCGTGGGCGGACGCCGTCGCCGCTCGGAACCTCGCGCTCGACTTCCTCCCGCGGGGGCAGTTTGGCGATTGCGGCTGGGAGCTCGCCGACATCCGGGGCGGCCTGCTGCTCCTCTTCCACTCGGAGCTGGCGCCAGGCCTCCTCATCTGCGATCCCCTGAGGCGACGCTACAGGGAAATCCCTCGCTCGGCGTGGTTCCACGGCTGCCACATGCTGGGCGCTTTCCTCCTCGACGGCGAGGACGAGGACGCGGCCGCGGGCATCAGCCTGGCAAACTTCAGGGTGACGTGCGCGCTCTTTCGCTTTGGGGACCGCAACGCCAGGGCCTGCGCCTTCTCGTCTGCCGGCGGCGGCTGGACCTCCGGGGCCGCACGTAGCAGCACACCAGTCTGCCGCGACAGGGAGTTCGCCCCCATCTATTTCGCAGGGAGCACCAAACGGGCCGCCTACTGGACGGTCGGAGACAACGTTGTTCTTGCTCTGCACAAGGACAACGCCGAGCTCTTATCTGGTGTCGTGCTGGGCGACGCACAGTACGCCCTGCTCCGGGACAAGCGCCATGCCACGGAGTACGCGTACCAGCTGCCATGGCCACCTACGATCGAAGCTTGCGTAACCTAGCTGCATTGGTGGGCTGTGGACAGGCCATGGCGTCGTCGTCCCAGGTTCTCAATTCCTCAAGTTGCCGTTTATCGTGATGATCCTAGCTAGAGGACCATGTGTGCCTGCCCATAGGAATCAAGTGGCAAACAATTTCAGATGTTTACAAGTTCAGTTCGTTGGATTGTTTCTTGTTGCTGTTTTGAACATTTATCTGTTCTTCAGATTACTTTCATAAACTTGAAACTGTTTGTATCTGTTTTGAACATTAGTCTGGTCTTCAGGATACTTTGTAGGTTTACTGATAAAGTTTTGTGTAGGGGAGAATAAAAAACAACTGTATGATCTTCTCTCCGTTGAAATATGTTTCTTTTAGAGAAAGGCTAATGCGCAAGATGGCAAAAACCATCTCATAGATATCATGTGCTTAGTTGGCCGTCTGTTGACCCACGGGGTTATAG